CTCAACATTTAAAAGTTCCTCAAAATATTCTCGCCATCTACCTAATACCTCCATCTCCCCATCTACTAACTCCCCTACTCTGTTTTTAACTGACAAATCCATACTTTCCCTAGGCTTTCTTAACTTGTTTAACTCACTCCAAATTTTTTTCTTTTTTTTTATATTTTATTATCACACCGGCCGATTCCCACCAAGGCAGGGTGGCCCGAAAAAGAAAAACTTTCACCATCATTCACTCCATCACTGTCTTGTCATTAAAATTTCTTGACGTGCCTCTCCCACTATCATCTGCTCTCCTTTTGCACTCTCACCACTCTCTTCACCTTTCTTTTACTCTCCATATACTCTGCTCTTCTTATAACTTCTGCTTTGTAAAAACCTCTCATAAGCTGCCTTTCTCTTTTATCACACCCTTTACTTCATTCCACCAATCACTCCTCTTTCCTCCTGCACCCACCCTCCTATAGCCACAAACTTCTGCCCCATATTCTAATAATGCAATTTGAAAACTTCCAACCCTCTTCTACCCCCCCCCCCCCCACTTGCATTAGCCCATCTTTCTGCCAATAGTTGGTTATCTCACCCTAACTTCCTCCTCCCTTAGTTTATACACTTTCACATCTCTTACTTGCTGATGCCATTTTCCGTATGTCCCATCTACCTCTTACTCTAACTGTAGCTACAAATAAATAATGATCTGATATATCCGTTGCCTTTCTATAAAAATGTACAGTAGGGCCCCACTTATTCGGCAGGTTAGGTTCCAGGCTACTGCCGGAAAGCAGACTTTGCCGGAAAGCAGAATCCCATTTTCTCCATTTATAAATGCATATGAATGCCAGATAACAAGTTTACACTAACATATTAAGTTAGCAATAGAACTAGGTATTAAAAAATAAAATACACACACAGTACACTCATTATTTACCTCAAAATATTTGTAGTCTTAATGTAGGGCAAAAGGTGAGTAGTACTTACTCGAAGAAGTCAGGTATAGTAGCCCTCCTGGCCACCCCACCCACACATACTATACTACGATGCTTACAGCTCCCTAGAGTGATAAAATGCATATCCAGTACATGCATTACTTACCTTAAAATATTTGTAGTCTTAATGGAGGCTGAGAGTTGAAAAGTATTTGTTTGTAGAAAGTCGTGTGGGAGGTATGGCATCCTGCCTGGCCACTTACACCTACTACGACATTAAGCTCCCTAGAGTGATAAAATGCATATATAGTACACTCATTAATTACCTTAAAATATTTGTAGTCTTAATGTAGGGTGAGAGGCGAGTTTTATTTGTATAGAGTCAGGTTGGGAAATATGGGTAGTCAGGAAGGGCAGCACTCCCAACCCCACCCACACATAATGTAAACAAACCAGATGAACACTACCACAATTCCTACAAGTTGCCTGGCTACCACATCTCATATTTGTTAATTTATTCTGCTGTGGGGTGTATTTAGATGGATTAAGCAAAATGTCTATATTAACGTTTTATACGATATTTAATGCTCCTTAGTGATTATTATTGTGTTATTATTATCATCGTCATTAATATGGCATCTTCAAGACTAATAAGACACTCTTGGTGATTTTAATGTGTACCTGCATGCCAGAACATTGTGCAAGTTTACCATAGCGAGGCTCAGGTTAGGGTGTGTATAAGAGGGAGACTACTTCCCGGTAAAAGTAGGTCTTAGACAGGTATGTGTAATGTCACCATGGTTGTTTAATATATTTATAGATGGGGTCGTAAACGAAGTAAATGCTAGGGTGTTCGGGAGAGGGGTGGGATTAAATTATGGGGAATCAAATACAAAATGGTAATTGACACAGTTACTTTTTGCTGATGATACTGTGCTTATGGGAGATTCTAAAGAAAAATTGCAAAGGTTAGTGGATGAGTTTGGGAGTGAGTGTAAAGGTAGAAAGTTGAAAGTGAACATCGAAAAGAGAAAGGTGATGAGGGTATCAAATGATTTAGATAAAGAAAAATTGGATAACAAATTGGGGAAGAGGAGTATGGAAGAAAATGTTTCAGATACTTGGGAGTTGACGGGGTCGGGAGATGGGATTTATGAAGGATGAGGTTAATCATAGAATTGGTGAAGGAAAAAAAAGGTGAGTGGTGCGTTGAGGTATATGTGGGAGTCAAAAACGGTTATCTATGGAGGCAAAGAAGGGAATGTATGAAAGTATAGTAGTACCAAGACTCTTAATGGGTGAGAAGCTTGGGTTGTGAATGCAGCAGCGAGGAGCAGTTGGAGGCAGTGGAATGTCCTGTCTAAGGCAATGTGTGGTGTAAATATTATGCAGAAAATTCGGGGTGTGGAAATTAGGAGAAGGTGTGTAGTTAATAAAAGTATTAGTCAAGGGCTGAAGAGGGGTTGTTGAGGTGGTTTGGCCATTTAGAGAGAATGGATCAAAGTAGAATGACATGGAGAGCATTTAAAAACTGTAGAAAAGGAAGGTGGGGTAGGGGTCGTCCTCGAAAAGGTTGGAAGGAAGGGGTAAGGGAGGTTTTGTGGGCGAGGGGCTTGGACTTCCAGCAGGCGTGCACGAGCGTGGTTTAATAGGAGTGAATGGAGACGAATGGTATTTGGGACCTGACGATCTGTTGGAGTGTGAGCAGGGTAATATTTAGTGAAGGGATTCAGGCAAACCGGTTATTTTTATATAGCCGGACTTGAGTACTGGAAATGGGAAGTACAATGTCTGCACTCTAAAGGAGGGGTTTTGGGATATTAGCAGTTTGGAGGGATATGTTGTGTATCTTTATATGTATATGCTTCTAAACTGTTGTGTTCTGAGCACCTCTGCAAAAACAGTGATTGTGTGTGAGTGAGGTGAAAGTGTTGAATGATGAAAGCATTTTCTTTTTTTGTCACCCTGCCTCGGTGGGAGACGGCCGACTTGTTGGGGGGAAAAAAAATAATTCAGCTAACGATGAGCTTTCAGGAACGGATTAATATCGCTAGCCGAGGGTCCACTGTATATATGTATAAAGATACACAACATATCCCTTCAAACTGCCAATATCCCAAACCCCTCCTTTTAAGTGCAGGCACTGTACATCCCATTTCCAGGACTCAAGTCCAGCTATATAAAATAACCGGTTTCCCTGAATCCCTTCACTAAATATTATCCTGCTCACACTCCAACAGCTCGTCAGGTCCCAAACACCATTCGTCTCCATTCACTCCTATTTAACACGCTCACGCACGCTTGCTGGAAGTCCAAACCCCTCGCCCACAAAACAACCTTTACCCCCTCCCTCCAACCCTTTCGAGGACAACCCCTACCCCGCCTTCCTTCCCCAACAGATTTATACGCTCTTCATGTCATTCTACTTTGATTCATTCTTTCTAAATTACAAAACCACCTCAACAACCCCTCTTCAGCCCTCTGACTAATACCTTTATTAACTCTACACCTTCTCCTAATTTCCACACTCCAAATTTTCTGCATAATATTTACACCACACATTGCCCTTAGACAGGACATCTCCACTGCCTCCAACCGCCTCCTCGCTGCAGCATTTACAACCCAAGCTTCACACCCATACAAGAGTGTTCGTACCACTATCCTTTCATACATTCCCTTCTTTGCCTCCATAGATAACATTTTTTGTCTCCTCAATGCACCACTCACCTTTTTTCCCTAATCAATTCTATGATTCACCTCATCCTTCATAAATCCAACTGCTGATACATCAACTCCCAAATATCTGAAAACATTCACTTCTTCCATACTACTCCTCCCCAATTTGATATCCAATTTTTCTTTATCTAAATCATTTGATACCCTCAACACTTTACTCTTTTCTATGTTCACTTTCAACTTTCTACCTTCACACACACTCCCAAACTCCTCCACTAACCTCTGCAATTTTTCTTTAGAATCTCCCATAAGCACAGTATCAGCAAAAAATAACTCACTTCCCATTTCGTATTTGATTCCCCATAATTTAAACCACCCCTCTCCCTAACACCCTAGCATTTACTTCTTTTACAACCCCATCTATAAATATATTAAACAACCATGGTGACATTACACATCCCTGTGTAAGACCTACTCTTACTGGAAAGTAGTCTCCCTCTCTTTTACACACCCTAACCTGAGCTTCACTATCCTCATAAAAGCTCTTTACAGCATTTAGTAACTTACCACCTATTCTATATACTTGCAACATCTGCCACATTGCTCCCCTATCCACTATCATATGCCTTTTCTAAATCCATAAATGCAATAAAAACTTCCCTACCTTTATCTAAATACTGTTCACATATATGCTTCAATGTAAACACTTGATCTACACATCCCCTACCCACTCTGAAACCTCCTTGCTCATCTACAATCCTACATTCTGTCTTACCTCTAATTCTTTCAATAATAACCCTACCATACACTTTTCCTGGCATACTCAGTAAACTAATTCCTCTATAATTTTTACAACCTCTTCTGTCCCCCTTCCCTTTATATAAAGGAACTATACATGCTCTCTGCCAATCCCTAGGTGACTTCCCCTCTTTCATACATTTATTAAACAAAAATAACCACCACTCCAACACTAACTCCCCCCCCACTTTTAGCATTTGTCATGATCCCATCAGTTTCAGCTGCTTTACCCCCTTTCATTCTACATAATGCCTCACGCACCTCCCCCACACTTACATCCTGCTCTTGTTCACTCCTAAAAGATAGTATACCTCCCTGGCCAGTGCATGAAATTACCGCCTCCCTTTCTTCGTCGACATTTAAAAGTTCCTCAGAGTATTCTCACCATCTACCCAATACCTCCATCTCCCCATCTACTTACTCTCCTACTCTGTTTTTAACTGACAAATCCATTTGTTCCCAAGGCTTTCTTAACTTGTTTAACTCACTCCAAATTTTTTTTTATTTTCATTAAAATTTCTTGACAGTGCCCCCATTGATTTTCTGCATATATCCAACACACATTACACAATTGCAATGGCTAAAGAAAATGTCACAAACCTTTAATCACCTTCATTCAAGACCTCAGAGCTGTTTCTGTGTACCCTGAGTTGTTGCAGGTTGAGGAGTGGTTCCCGATACTGCTGCTGCAGTAGATGCAGCCTTTTGCTTAAGCATGGTCCAATCAAAAGTGTAGTCATACTGGTGGTGTAGAGTGCGAAACAGGATCCGGAAGAGTTGACGCAGGTACATGTAGTCTGGCGCTTCATCAAACCTCAACCCCCGGCAATAGTTTAGGTACATTGCAAACTCTGCTGGGAAACCCTGGAAAATTTAAAACCATTAACAATATAGTTATTTGTTAGTACTGTTAAAGAATTACATTTTATCCCTGAAAAATTGGTCACAATGATATTCTGACTTTCTCTTGAGAATTCCTCCAGAAAAGCCTCAGGGTAGCCTTATACAGACTATCAGAGCTGCTCCATGTCTTTTATAAGAGACTGGATACAGTAATGGCATAACCCAATACCACAAAGATATTCATCCTGTAAGTAACCCTTCACTTTCTCCTCTTTTATGTACAGGTACAGAATGCATGCATAATTCCCTTATATAAGGGAAAAAGGAGCAATTAAACAGTTAGTGGTACCCCGAGTTTCGGCCATAACTCTTCCCAGAAGGCTAGAAGGCTGTTCGAGTGTCGTTACCAAACGAATTTGTTTCCAAAAGGAATAAATGTAAGTTAGAGTAGTCTGATTCAGACCCCCAAAATTACACTTACAAAAGCACTTAAAGCACTTACAATAATACACTTAAATAATTGTTCGAGTTGGGAGTTGTACAAAACTGGGGGTACCACTGTACAGTGAATACACCTTGACCCTCTCACTGTAGATTATTATTATTATAATCAAAAAGAAGCGCTAAGCCACAAGGGCTTCTCACTGTAGAGACCCCTGCTTACAAACCTGCTCTCAGCGATGAACTTAAAAAAAACTCTTGAAATGGTAATCTTTTCCTGATGGTAATAAAACCAAAAGTATGAAATTTGATAGAAAACTTATGGAATTACACTCTCGTAAAGCTAGCGGTCTAGGCGATATTTATGCATCAGAGACTTCATCCAATTTGAGCCGTATTTTGGGCCAATTTCATTGTTCCAGTTGACCAAACTCATAGCTATTTCACTAGAACTCCTTTTGTTCTATTGATTCATTACAAAAAACTGCCCATTTACCTATTTCAACTACCCAATAAAGCGATCAGAAATTGGAAATTTGGCCAACTGTATACAAAATCCAAGGAAGGCCAATTTCAAGACAGGGTCAAGAATTAACAATGCAAACATTCCTAGCACTACAATAACATTTTCTCTGTTCATCAGTTACATCTCCAGGCCCCTCTTATATTATGCTTGCTATTTTGAAATTTTATTCACAAAAAAGAGAAGATTCACTGTTATGCAGACTACTGCATTATTATAAAAATGGCATAAATAATATCAGCATGTTTGTGAAAGCATATTAGACCCACACGTGTATTGGATGCGTGATGTAATTTGTTTACTCTAACATTGGCAAAAACAAAACATTTCCGCTACTTTGAGCTCAATTTCAAGGTACTTCTCGTCTGTAAACCATTCAAAATCGTCTATTTTTGTAATACATCTTCCATTCTATCAAGCGAGATAAAAAAACGAGAATACAATCATAAATACCATACAAAAAATACATCGTAAAGTTGCGGTTTTAAACCAAAAACACGCAGTTTTTTGTCATTATGCACAGCGTGCTGCAGGATCCTTATTATACTGTGCACACTGACCACTCAAGACCCATTCTCTCGTATGTAGGCCTACCAGCTATCTCCCACAAGATTGGAAGCCGCTAGAATTTTGTCGTAGTATTACAGGACCGACACTGGCTTGCAAGCCATAATATTATGGGACCAACAGTGAAAGGGTTAAGACAAAGTAGGACCGCAGAAGAGCAGGGAGCATTTAGGAAGAGTGGGGGATGTGAAGACAAGTGTCCACACTGAAGCATGTGAGTAGTACTTAGACAAGGCTACGGAGCTGTATTGCATTTATTGATTTAGAAAAGGCACATGATAGGGTGGATAAGGTAGCCATGTGACTGACTTTGCAAATGCATGAAATAAGAGGCAGGTTACTAAATGCAGCTAAGTGATATGAGAAAGGCTCAGGTTAGAGTATTTAGGAGGGAGACACTTTCCCAGTAATACAGACAGGGAAGCATGATGTCACTACAGTTATTTAACATATTTATTGATTGGGTTGTGAGGTGAATATTTGTGTTGAAATGGAATGAAGAATTAATAAATGTAGGATCTGATATCAAGTGGGAGTTATCACATTTGATCTTTGCTGAATAGTTCTTTTGGTGGGTTCTGAAGACAATGTTGGTGGACAAATTTGAGAGGGTATGTAAAAGAAGGAAATTAAAAGTGACTGCAGGAAAAAGGAAGGTGATAAGGGAAAAAGAAAAAGTAGGTGGTATCAACACTCGTGTTGATGTGAGGCATAGGTTTTGAATGAAGTGAGGAAGCAGCTAGAAGCAACAGAGATGTCATGCTTTAAAGCCATGTGTAGTGTGTGTAACTATTTTTATTATTATCACACTGGCCTATTCCCACCAAGGCAGGGTGGCCCGAAAAAGAAAAACTTTCACCATCATTCACTCCATCACTGTCTTGCCAGAAGGGTGCTTTACACTACAGTTTTTAAACTGCAACATTAACACCCCTCCTTCAGAGTGCAGGCACTGTACTTCCCATCTCCAGGACTCAAGTCCAGGCCATGCCCGGTTTCCCTGAACTCCTTCAATTATTGTACTTTGCTCACAATCAACAGCACTCAAGTATTAAAATCCATTTCTCTCCATTCACTCCTATCACACACGCTACGCATGCCTGCTGGAAGTCCAAGCCCCCGCACACAAACTCCTTTACCCCTCCCTACACCCTTTTTCTAGGCCGAACCCCCTACCCCGCCTCTTCTTCCACTACAGACTGATACACTCTTGAATGTCACTCTGTTTCGCTCCATTCTCTCTACATGTCGACACCACCTCAACAACCCTTCTCGCACTCTGGACAACAGTTTTGGTACAGCACCTCCTACTAACTTACAATATCTCGAATTCTCTGCATTTTACTCACACCAACACATTGACCACTTGCAGACATGCACATCTCCACGGCATCGCCTTCTCCTCGCTTGCATCATTCATCACCCAGGGGGCTTCACACCCATATAAAGAGTGTTGGTAAAAAAATCTATACTCTCATACATTACCCTCGCGCCTCAAGGACAAAGTTTCTTTGTCTCCTCTGATCCTTAGTGCACCAACATCACCCTTTTCCCCTCTTCATGTATATGTTCACCTCATCCGTCTAGACCCTTCCGCCTGATACTCGGTCCATATCTCCCATAATTATCTGAATTTCTTCAACCGTCAGCCATTTTACTCTCGCACCTCCTAGCTCGATATTCCATTTCTCTTCTTCTCTATTATTTTGTCGATACTTCATAACCTTACAGCTTTCCTGTTTTCACTTTATTATTTTCTTTCTTTTGCACACAACCTACCAAATTCATCACCAATTCTGCATAACTTCTCTTCTGAATCCCAAGAGCACCAGTGTCATCAGCAAAGAGCAACTGTGACAACTCCCACTTTATGTGTGATTCTTTATCTTTTAACTCCACGCCTCTTGTCAAGACCCTCGCATTTACTTCTCTTACAACCCCATCTATAAATATATTAAACAACCATGGTGACGTCACACATCCTTGTCTAAGGCCTACTTTTACTGGGAAATAATTTCCCTCTTTCCTATGTACTCTAACTTGAGCCTCACTATCCTCGTAAAAACTCTTCACTGCTTTCAGTAACCTACCTCCTACACCATACACCTGCAAAAATAAATAACAAAAAGGCACAATACCGTGACTGGAACGATACACAAATAACCCGCACATAAAAGAGAGAAGCTTACGACGACGTTTCAGTCCGACTTGGACCATTGACAAAGTCACACTAACAGAGGTATAGCAGGACGGCTATATATAGGCAGGAAGAGGTGGAGGTAGTAGTAGTAGTGGTAGTAGTAGTACAAGAATTGTATATAATACCGACAGGATGAAATGACTCATTGCACAACACGGCATCCCTCACCGTGACGTTTCGCCATCCAGATGGCTGGCTGGATGTGCGAAACGTCTTCGGTGGGATGCCCGGGTGTTGTGCATGTGTCATTTCATCCTGTCGGTATTATATACAATTCTTGTACTACTACTACCACTACTACTACTACCTCCACAGCTTCCTGCCTATATATAGCCGTCCTGCTCCACCTCGGTTAGTTGTCTGACTTTGCAAGGGTCCAAGTCGGACCGAACGTCGTCGTAAGCTTCTCTCTTTTATGTGCGGGTTATTTGTGTACACCTGCAACATCTGCCACATTGCCCCCCTATCCACCCTGTCATACACCTTTTCCAAATCCATAAATGCCACAAAGACCTCTTTACCCTTATCAAATACTGTTCACTTATATGTTTCACTGTAAACACCTGGTCCACACACACCCTACCTTTCCTAAAGCAACCTTGTTCATCTCCTATCCTATTCTCCGTCTTACTTTTAATTCTTTCAATAATTACTACCATACACTTTACCAGGTATACTCAACAGACTTATCCCCTAAAATTTTTGCACTCTCTTTTGTTCCTTTGTCTTTTTATACAAAGAGAACGATGCATGCTCTCTTGCAATCCCTGGTACCTTTACCCTCTTCCATACATTTTTTAAATAATTGCTCCAACCACTCCAAAAACTATATCCCCCTACCTGCTTTTACATTTCTATCTTTATCCCATCAATCCCGGCGGCTGCCTTACCCCTTTCATTTTACTACTGTCTCTCGACTTCCCCCACACTCACAATGGCTCTTCCTCACTCCTTCAAGATTGATATTCTCCTCCTTGCCCTATACACGTAAATCACAGCTTCCCTATCTTCATCAACATTTAACAATTCCTCAAAATATTCATTTATCTTCCCAATACCTCTAACTCTCCATTTAATAACTCTCCTCTCCTATTTTTAACTGACAAATCCATTTGTTTCTAGGCTTCCTTAACTTATTAATCTCACTCCAAACTTTTCTTATTTTCAACAAAATTTGTTGATAAACATCTCACCCACTCTCTCATTTGTTCTCTTTTTACATTGCTTCACCACTCTCTTAACCTCTCTCTTTTTCTCCATATACTTTTCCCTCCTTGCATCACTTCTACTTTGTAAAAACTTCTCATATGCTAACTTTTTCTCCCTTACTACTCTCTTTACATCATCATTCCACCAATCGCTCCTCTTCCCTCCCGCACCCACTTTCCTGTAACCACAAACTTCTGCTGAACACTAACACTACATTTTTAAACCTACCCCATACCTCTTCGGAATTCAAGTGTAGAAATAAAAGAGGGTCTCCAGGGAGTATAAATCAGAGGGATGAGGAGGGGTTGTGGTAGTCTGGCAAGTATAGGGGAAGGAGATAGAATAGGGTGGCAAAGAGGGTATAAATCTGGGGTGGTTAATAGGATGGGTAGAGGATCATATCAGGAGAGACTGGAGGGAGGGAGCAAAAGAGGCTTGTGAGAATAAGTTAGATAGGAGTGAATGAAGACAAGTGGTTTTCAATGTACATGCTGTTGGAAAGTGAGCAAGGTAACTTTCAGGGAAACCAGTCAGCTGGACTTTGGTCCTGGAAGTGAGAAAGTGCTTGCAGTCTGAAAAAAGGAGTGATGTTGCAGTCTGAGTAATCTGAATTGTGAGGTCAGCACACTTCTGGAGACAGCAATAGAAAGAATGATAAATATTTTCTTTTTGGGTCACCTACCTTGATGGGAGATGATTGTAGTAAAAATAAAATGTACAGAGCCACTTTTACTCCAAGGTGGCTAATTCTACCAATATTCAAACAGGTAATAGTCAATGGTAATTTTAAATGGATTGTTACCCTGGAGGGTTAGTAACCTGGGATAACAAAGCCAGTCTCACGACTGGCTTATTTCCAATGGGGTCTAATCCTTTTCCCCAAATTTGAAGTCCACAACAGTTAGCCAAGACCTAGGAACCTAATTACTACTAAGGTGAATAGGGGCAACAGACAAGAGGTATTATAAAGGATCACATTAAGCCCCTCTACACACTAGCATATCAACAATCAAGAGCAAACTTTTTTTTTTTTTTTTTTTTTTTTGAGGAAAGGAGGGGGGAGACTCAAAAGGAACATAAACCAATTTTTCCCATGTGTGCTTCACTTCAGTTAGCACAAATTTCAATACAACCCAACCGTTCAGAAATAACTCCAAGATTACTCAAGGGTCAACTGTATTTGCAATCACTACACACTACCTGTTAAAGTTTATGCACCTCAGGATATGTCATTTTTTACAGTGTTTGAAATATTTTTGGTTTTAATTATTTCCAGTATTTGGAATGCCAGAGTATCAACAATCAACATCCTACTGTATAAAATTAATGCAGAGAAGGTGCACCTGTTTGTATGCACAAATTAAAAAAATTAAACAGTGCTAACCTTGCAGAGTGATTCAACAGGAGTCGACATCTTTTTCTCACTGATTTTCTCATACTTCTGCTTCTTGGTGGCAGCTTTAAGACCTTGCCAGGGAAGAGATCCCCGGTTGAAGTACATCAGAACATATCCCAAGCTCTCCATGTCATCTCGTCGGCTGTTAGATAGTAGTAATCACCATTTCAATATTTACAAAAACACCACACACAACAATCTGATCTAATAAGATTTTTTTATTATTATAGAAACATACTTGTTAACCTATTGATCTAATAACATTTCCAATTCTTTTAAAGTTTATACTTGTGCTAAAATTAACAACTCCTCTAGTAGAAGCAGCTTTGCATTTTAGGTAGCAAACTGTGTAAATGTAGAACAAGAAGTTTTAAAAGATGCACAGAAAAATGTTGCATCAATTCAAATAGTTCTAAGCATTAAGTCTGGAAATATTTTTACTCAAGATATCACATTTACATGAAGACAGTATGTACAAGGCCAAAACTTCATTCAAGTCTCTTATAATTTACCTCTGCTCAATACCCAAGTGAGCATTAATAGAGGCGTAACGAGCGGTCCCTGTCAGGTTTTTGTCCTCCCGGTAAGGTATGTGTGCACGGGACCGATTATCTCTGTATTTCTTGGCCAATCCAAAATCAATCAGGAATAATTTGTTGCAATGACGACCAATGCCCATAAGAAAGTTGTCTGCAAATACAGAAATAGTTATAGACATACATCTAAATTAATTCGAGTGAACATAAGTCTATCAATTCAGCTATCCTAAACAGTAATTTTTTTTTTTTTTTTTACTGAACACCAGCATTAAAACTCAATGCTCTTACCCACTAATCAGTATACATTAAATACTCTGATTTAACACCTCAGATTACTACTTTTCACTCAATATTTGCATAATATAAATGCGTGGGGAGTTTTGAATCAAGTGTGAGAGTAATGGTGGTTGGGGATTTCAATGCTAAAGTGGGTAAAAATGTTATGGAGGGAGTAGTAGGTAAATTTGGGGTGCCAGGGGTAAATGTAAATAGGGAGCCTTTAATTGAGCTATGTGTAGAAAGAAATTTGGTAATAAGTAATACATATTTTATGAAAAAGAGGATAAATAAATATACAAGATATGATGTAGCACGTAATGAAAGTAGTTTGTTAGATTAGGTATTGGTGGATAAAAGGTTGATGGGTAGGCTCCAGGATGTACATGTTTATAGAGGGGCAACTGATATATCGGATCATTATTTAGTTGTAGCTACAGTTAGAGTAAGAGGTAGATGGGAAAAGAGGAAGGTTGGCAACAACAAGAAAGAGGGAGGTGAAAGTGTATAAACTAAGGGAGGAGGAAGTTCGGGCGAGATATAAACGACTATTGGCAGAAAGGTGGGCTAGTGCAAAGATGAGTAGTGGGGGGGGTTGAAGAGGGTTGGAATAGTTTTAAAAATGCAGTATTAGAATGTGGGGCAGAAGTTTGTGGTTATAGGAGGGTGGGGGCAGGAGGGAAAGAGGAGTGATTGGTGGAATGATGAAGTAAAGGATGTGATAAAAAGAGAAAAAAGGTAGCTTAGGAGAGGTTTTTTACAAAGCAGAAGTGTTATAAGAAGAGCAGAGTATATGGAGAGTAAAAGAAAGGTGAAGAGAGTGGTGAGAGTGCAAAAGAAGAGCAGATGAAAGAGTGGGAGAGGCACTGTCAAGAAATTTTAATGAAAATAAGAAATAATTTTGGAGTGAAAACAGTTACGAAAGCCTAGGGAAAGTATGGATTTGTCAGTTAAAAACAGAGTAGGGGAGTTAGTATATGGGGAGAGGGAGGTATTAGGTAGATGGCGAGAATATTTTCAGGAACTTTTAAATGTTGAGGAAGAAAGGGAGGCGGTAATTTCATGCACTGGCCAGGGAGGTATACCATCTTTTAGGAGTGAAGAAGAGCAGAATGTAAGTGTGGTGGAGGTACGTGAGGCATTACGTAGAATGAAAGGGGGTAAAGCAGCTGGAACTGATGGGATCATGACAGAAATGTTAAAAGCAGGGGGGGATATAGTGTTGGAGTGGTTGGTACTTTTGTTTAATAAATGTATGAAAGAGGGGAAGGTACCTAGGGATTGTCGGAGAGCGATGTATAGTCCCTTTATATGAAGGGAAAGGGGACAAAAGAGATTGTAAAAATTATAGAGGAATAAGTTTACTGAGTTATACAGGAAAAGTATACGGTAGGGTTATAATTGAAGAATTAGAGGTAAGACAGAATGTAGGATTGCGGATGAGCAGGGAGGCTTCAGAGTGGGTAGGGGATGTGTAGGATCAAGTGTTTACATGGAAGCATATATGTGAACAGTATTTAGATAAAGGTAGGGAAGTTTTTATTGCATTTATGGATTTAGAAAAGGCATATGATAGAGTGGATAGAGGAGCAATGTGGCAGATGTTGCAAGTATATGGAATAGGTGGTAAGTTACTAAATGCTGTAAAGAGCTTTTATGAGGATAGTGAGGCTCAGGTTAGGGTATGTAGAAGAGAGGGAGAATACTTCCCGGTTAAAAGTAGGTCTTAGACAGGGATGTGTAATGTCACCATGGTTGTTTAATATATTTATAGATGGGGTTGAAAAAGAAGTAAATGCTAGGGTGTTCGGGAGAGGGGTGGGATTAAATTATGGGGAATCAAATTCAAAATGGGAACTGACACAGTTACTTTTTGCTGATGATACTGTGCTTATGGGAGATTCTAAAGAAAAATTGCAAAGGTTAGTGGATGAGTTTGAGAATGTGTGTAAAGGTAGAAAGTTGAAAGTGAACATAGAAAAGAGTAAGGTGATGAGGGTATCAAATGATTTAGATAAAGAAAAATTGGATATCAAATTGGGGAGGAGTAGTATGGAAGAAGTGAATGTTTTCGGATACTTGGGAGTTGACGTGTCGGCGGATGAGTTTATGAAGGATGAGGTTAATCATAGAATTGATGAGGGTAAAAAGGTGAGTGGTGTGTTGAGGTATATGTGGAGTCAAAAAACGTTATCTATGGAGGCAAAGAAGGGAATGTGTGAAAGTATAGTAGTACCAACACTCTTATATGGATGTGAAGCTTGGGTGGTAAATGCAGCAGCGAGGAGACAGTTGGAGGCAGTGGAGATGTCCTGTCTAAGGGCAATGTGTGGCGTAAATATTATGCAGAAAATTCAGAGTGTGGAAATTAGGAGAAGGTGTGGAGTTAATAAAAGCATTAGTCACAGGGCAGAAGAGAGGTTGTTGAGGTGGTTTGGTCATTTAGAGAGAATGGATCAAAGTAGAATGACATGGAAAGCATATAAATCTATAGGGGAAGGAAGGAGGGGTAGGGGTCGTCCTCGAAAGGGTTGGAAAGAGGGGGTAAAGGAGGTTTTGTGGGCAAGGGGCTTGGACTTCCAGCAAGCATGCATGAGCGTGTTAGATAGGAGTGAATGGAGACGAATGATACTTGGGACCTGACGATCTGTTGGAGTGTGAGCAGGGTAATATTGACCTGACGATCTGTTGGAGTGTGAGCAGGGTAATATTTAGTGAAGGGATTCAGGGAAACCGGTTATTTTCATATAGTTGGACTTGAGTCCTGGAAATGGGAAGTACAATGCCTGCATTTTAAAGGAGGGGTTTGGGATATTGGCAGTTTGGAGGGATATGTTGTGTATCTTTATACGTATATGCTTCTAAACTGTTGTATTCTGAGCACCTCTGCAAAAGCAGTGATAATGTGTGAGTGTGGTGAAAGTGTTGAATGATGAAAGTATTTTCTTTTTTGGGGATTTTCTTTCTTTTTTGGGTCACCCTGCCTCGGTGGGAGACGGCCGACTTGTTGGAAAAAAAAAAAAATACACTAGGTAGTGGGTTGGCAGACAGCAACCACCCAGGGTGGTACTACCATCCTACCAAACGAGTGTGAAATGGAAACCTGTAATTGTTTTACATGGATGGATTGCTGGCGCCTTTTTTCTGTCTCAAACAAAAAGATTTCAAGCAAGTCTTGCTATTCCTACTTACACTTAGCTCACACTACTACACATGCATGTACAAGCACATATATACACACACCCCTCTGGGTTTTCTTCTATTTTCTTACTAGTTCTTGTTCATTTCTGCTTATTTCCATGGGCAGGTGGAACAGAATTCTTCCTCCGTAAGCCATGCGTGTCGTAAAAGGCAACTAAAATGCTGGGAATGAGGGGCTACTAACCCCTTCTCCTGTATATTACTATATTTATATAGAGAAACTTTTTTCTTTTTGGGCCAGTCACCAATATGCTCATCGTAGAACTACTAAATGCCTAAATGATGTAGTTGAATAACAATAGAAACAAGGCTCCAATACGTGACTGGAATGTATACATATTGACCCGCACATAGAGAGTAGGTAGCTCACAAGAGTTTTGTCAGACTTAGGCCATTAGTACTAAGTATATCAATATACGAATAGAAGTAGTAGTAGTAGTAGTAGTAGTAGTAGTTAGTATATAGTTAGTAATAGTAATAGTAGTAATAAGTAGTAATAGTAGTAAGTAGTAGTTATAGTAGTATATAGTAGTATATAGTAGTAATAGTAGTATAGTAATAGTAGTAATAGTTAGTATAATAGTAGTAATAGTAGTAATAGTAGTAGTTAGTAGTAATAGTAGTAAGTAGTAGTAATTAGTAGTAGTAGTATAATAGTAGTTAGTAGTAGTAATGTAGTAAGTAGTAGTAATAGTAGTAGTAGTAATAGTAGTAGTAATAGTAGTAGTAGTAGTAGTAGTATAGTAGTAGTAGTAGTATATAGTAGTATATATAGTAGTAGTAGTAGTAGTAGTAGTAGTAGTAGTAGTAATAGTAGTAGTAGTAATAGTAGTAATAGTAGTAGTAGTAGTAATAGTAGTAGTAATAGTAGTAGTAATAGTAGTAGTAATAGTAGTAGTAATAGTAGTAATAGTAGTAGTAATAGTAGTAGTAGTAGTAGTAGTAGTAAGGGGCCAGTCAAATACTTACTAAGAAAGAGGAGCACTGCAAGGGAGCTAGGTAGATGCCTTCCTCTCCCACTACATTGTAAAATGCTCCAAACTTCAGAACACTCATGACCTAACCTGATTCCTCCTTTTTTCTTTTTCTCCCTCTTCCCGTTTCCTCTTTCCTTTTTTTCTCCTTTGGGTTGTCTTTCTTCTGCCCTGTGTATTTGTTCCTTCTTTCTTTATTTATTTCCCCCCCCCCCTCGGTGTTCTTGCCCTTACCCTCTGTGGGCACCTAGCTCCCTCGCAGTGCTCCTCTTTCTTAGTATTTGACTGGCCCCTCCTCCTCTTGCTACCTCCCCACTACTACTTCCTTCCACCTCCACTACTACTACCACCTCCTACCTACATACATACATATACCCATCCTGCTCTCCTTTTTGTTACTGTGACTTTGTAAATGGTCCAAGTCGGACCAAAACGTCATCGTAAGCTCCTCTCTTCTATGTGCAGGTTATTAGTGGATGTAGTTGAAATTTTGGCAGAAAGATCGAGAACCGAAACCTGGTTACTGTGGTTGCATACAAGCCTCCGAATGCAACTTCCCAACAATTCCAGGAACAGCTTTTGAAAATTGATCACTGCCTGGAAAATCTTATATCCCCTGCTCCCAACATCTTGCTCCTGGGAGATTTCAACCTAAGGCACCTAAAATGGAGGAATGTAGCAAATAATGCTGTAGCAGAGA